CGTTCTGCGAGTCTCTTCGTCTTGCGGTTTTTTCGTCTTGCGAAGCACGGCTATTAGCGGTGTAGCGGCTTTAAGAAAAAGGAAACAAACTCGCAAGAACTCGCAAGACGTTTTCGTCTTGCGAAGCAAGCCCATAGGGAAATTCGTCTTGCGAAGCACCTCAAAAAACGAAAAGCCCTTTCGTCTAGCGAGTTTTTCGTCTTGCGAGGCATTCGTCTTGCGGGGCACCACTGTATCTATAAAATATTGCTAAGCCACTCTTTCCCAGAGTGGTTCAACAATCAGTCCTAGTTCACCGGGAACTTCTGTGACGAGAAACAGGGATGTCCTAACAGCTCTCTGCACCCTGAGCAACCTACAGCTCCCAGAATACCTTGGGGGAAGAAGCCATGACTGTTGAAAGTGGTTTCATGGTGCTTTTCAATGTGTGGTATGAATGCGGCCTTAGTCAGGGAGCAAGCTGATGTTGTGACTTTATACTGTGGTTCCCTTGGTCAGAGGGGCTTCAGCTTGTGTCTTGCACCTGAGTGTGAATGTGTCTGCTTGTGAACACGCTCCTAGCCATGCTTACAGAAAACAACGTTCAGCTTCTGCCATAACCTGCACCCAACCTGCCTATAAGTGATTTGTGTAGATCACTTAAGTGCTGGAATTTTGCTGACCATGCTGAGATGCTTAGCTGTAAAAGCCGAAGGTGTCGATTTTATACAGCTGACAGGAACTGCCTTTATGTTGAGAGGAAATTTCTGCTGGGCTTCTACCAGAACTGTATGTGAAGTCTGCCGAAAGCACAATGACCAACCTGCTGCCGTTCAGGTTTATCCCCTGCACCAAGAAAGGTCAAAAGTTAGGTGAGATAGGAGTCGGACTCCATCAGCATCTGGTGGGCACCAGGTTGGGAAAGAGTACAATGAATGGTAAAGTTCAAGTTAGTATCAACGGACATTCGAGGCTTCTGAGGTGCAGCTGATTGGTGGAGAGGAATTTCAGAAGTGCTGCCATTGGCCTGAAAGCCAAGATCCATCCCTGAGCCTTGACTTAACTGGAGAAAATGAGAGAAAGGAGGTGTTGAGAAATGAGTGAATATATTATTGTAAGAGGGGCTTGGTGTGGATGATGCCTTTGCGTGACATCCAAGCCTGTCATTTTATATCTATACGTTGGGAGCCAGCAGCTGAAGGAACTTCTGGAGTGGTCAACATAATTTCTTTAATGCCCCTAGACCATGGGTAGGCAAACTAAGGCCCAGGGGCCAGATTTGGCCCAATCGCCTTCTCAATCCGGCCCGCAGACAGTCCGGGAATCAGTGGGTTTTTACATGAGTAGAATGTGTCCTTTTATTTAAAATGCGTTTCTGGGTTGTTTGTGGGGCATAGGAATTCGTTCATTTCCCTCCCCAAAATATAGTCCGGCCCCCCACAAGTTCTGAGGGACGGTGGACCGGCCCCCTGCTGAAAAAGTTTGCTGACCCCTGCCCTAGACAAACCTGTTAAGCATCCTTTTTACACATTTAAAGGGTTGGTCAAGTACAGACACGTTGTCGTAGAAACAACTCAGTAATAGTGCCTTCAGAAAGAGGCGGAAAGCCTCGCTCTCCCATGCCTGGCTGGATGCCACTCATCCTAGGGCAGTGATGGCGAACCTTTTAGAGACCGAGTGCCCAAACTGCAACCCAAAACCCACTTATTTATTGCAAAGTGCCAACGCAGCAATTTAACCTGAATACTGAGGTTTTAGTTTAGAAAAAACAACTCATCCATTAAGATCTTCTGCCGTAAAAGAAAAACACAATAACAGAGCTCTCAACGACGCAAACAACTTTTTATTGAAAGGCAAAAGCTTGCATTTGGCATGCTTTTGAACAATTCATGTGATTTTTGCTGTTGTGCGCATGCTGATAATTTGTCTAACCTTGCTGAACTCAAGGCGGCTTACTCCCGAGTAGGAACAACAGACTGGCGGGAGGCCCTGGTGCATCAAACGTCCACGCCTGCTCAGCCAGGGTTAGGTAAAGGTAAAGGGACCCCTGACCATTAGGTCCAGTCGTGACCGACTCTGGGGTTGCGGCGCTCATCTCGCTTTATTGGCCGAGGGAGCCGGCGTACAGCTTCCGGGTCATGTGGCCAGTGTTGAATAGTGGGTAGACATGGCAGACGACACAGCGATTTCTCCAAAGCAGCTCTTTATTTGTAAGCTGGAACAGAACTGATCAGCAAACAGCTCAGCCGGCCTGCTTTTATAGGCAGCCGGCTGTCAACATTGTAGCAACAACAACCCAGGGTTTCCCACCTAAAATAACTGACGTGGACCTGAGTGAAAACTACCTACAGTATCCCCCTGCTGGCCCAGGGTGAGAACTTCAGTACATAACAGCCAGCATGACTAAGCTGCTTCTGGCGAACCAGAGCAGCGCACGGAAACGCCTTTTACCTTCCCGCTGGAGCGGTACCTATTTATCTACTTGCACTTTGACGTGCTTTCAAATTGCTAGGTTGGCAGGAGCTGGGACTGAGCAACAGGATGCTCACTCCGTCGCGGGGATTTGAACCGCCGACCTTCTGATCGGCAAGTCCTAGGCTCGGTGGTTTAACCCACAGCGCCACCCGCGTCCACTTGTATGTATACATGTAAATACAACTGTATATCATAAAGGCACCACAGCCTCCAGTGATCTCACCCTATACTGAGACCAAGGTAGTCACTGGCACCCCCGAAGTCTCTCACAGCTGCTTCAAGATGAGGATGCAAGTAACATTGCATTTTGAAGTGTGCCTCCAGTTTCAATCTAGAAAGCACCGTGCTCAGGTATAAAAAATCTAGGAAGTCCTAAAGCAGTGTTTCTCAAAGTGGCCAGTACCACCCCCTGGGGGGCAGTGGGATCACCTGGGGGGCCGCTAAGAGGCAAGGAGGCTCCAAGGGGAGGTGCAAAAGACTATTAGACCTTGAAAAGCTGGTATCACTGGATCATCAAGTTCATCAGTTTTGTTGAATTAATTAAATTACATAGTCTTACTGTATTTTTTCGCTCCATAAGATGCACCTGAACATAAGACGCACCTAGTTTTTAAAGGGGGAATGCAAGAAAAAAAATATTCTTTAAACACTGACAGTTTGCCCTTCTCCCTCCTCGAGGAAAAGCCCCCAAGAGCCGCACACACGCTCCGTGTGGCTCTTTAAATGGAGCGCGGCTCTTGGGGGCTTTTGTGGGAGGAAGGGACAGAGCGCGGCTAAGCCAGAAGCTAGAACAGCGAGAGGGAGTGCTGCGCAGCGATCCCTCTCGCTGTTCTGGCTTCTGGGATAGCTGCGCAGCCTGCATTCGCTCCATAAGAGTCACACACATTTCCCCTTACTTTTTAGGAGGGGAAAAGTGCGTCTTATAGAGCGAAAAATACAGTAATTGGATTTTGAATAAATGCACCGTTGCTGTTAATTGTGCTAATATCTTCCTGGGTGGGCTGTGCAAACAGCTGTTTATGAATAATGCTTTTTGTACGGTGGGGGGGCACTGGCATGAGTTTATGGAACCAAGGGAATGGTACCCCAAAAGAAATTCAGGAACCACTGTCTGAAAGACTTATTGAAGGCTCTGTGTGTGTGTGTGTGTGTGTGTGTGTGTGTTAGATCTGATTAGAAGCTACCCTGAACTGGCCAGTTGGATTTTCAGCTTGCGGTGTTTTGTGCCGGGGGGGGTGTGCGTTGTCGGCCATGAAACACGAGGAGAGAGCTCTGTGTATTATTTGGGGCATGCCTGTGATGTCGGAGGCGGTTCCATGACCGCCATAGGACTGTGTGGGTTTGGGCGATTTAAGCACAAATGTGCCGCTGGACCGAGATGCTTGCCATTCTTTTTCTCCTACACGTCTTTCCGCTTCCTTCCTTCCTTCTGCAGCAGCTCCTTGCCTTTCTGCCCCCACTTTTATCTGTGAACCTGCCATAACCCCCATGCAGAGACATTTGGCTCTGTGTCAGCTTTCCAAGTGGAATTTGCACAATGTTAGAATAAGGGCAGCGATGGTGGGTGTAAACCTGGACAGCCCAGAATGGCAACGAGAATTATGAATGGTTCTGGGGACGCGGGTGGCGCTGTGGGTTAAACCACAGAGCCTAGGACTTGCTGATCAGAAGGTTGGCGGTTCGAATCCCCACAACGGGGTGAGCTCCCGTTGCTCGGTCCCTGCTCCGTCAACCTAGCAGTTGTTAATTCTGAATATTTTATATCCACCATAAAAAAACCCCAAATATAAAATAATCAGGGTGTGTAACAGCTAAGTAGTTATTTTCTTCCCCTGGTCCACAAATGATCAATACAGGTCTGTGTGGATCAGTGACCCTCGCATAACTTTTCTGACTGTATCTTGTGCCAGTGGCAACAGGCAGCTGACCCAGGTGTGATTTCTTTATTTTATTCATTATTTTTATTTTACTTATTAATTTTGTATACTGTCCTACGCCTGTAGGTCTCAGGGCGGTTTGTAACACAGAACTGCAATAAAAAAATGCAGAATACATAATAAAAATCAAAAACAATCCAATACAGTGGACACTCAGGTTGCAAACGTTATCCGTGCGGGAAGCATGTTTGCAACCCGCAGCGTCCACAACCTGACACGTCTGTAACCCGAGGTATGACTGTAATCCCCCCTCCCCCAACCTATTATTCTATTTATTAAAATTTTATGCCATCTATTAAATTTCTTTTATCTTCCTGATTGCAATAACAGGCTGAGAAAATCAGCGCCTGGGCGTTCTGTGTGACTCAGAAGTCTGCACACTCCCAGCAGAGAGATCAAGTCACCTCTTTGGTTTGGTTTTGCACTCCCTTTTCTTCTTCCGCTTCGTGGGAGGAGGGGAAAAGAACTAGACTGTGTCATTCCTTGTTCTGCGGGGATCGGCCTCGCAAAGTCGCCTCGGAGCGTCTGAATCTCCTTATTTTCTCACTCGGGCGGTTTGCTGATTTCACAACTCTCTTTCTCCCCCCCCCCCCTTCCCTGACGCAACAGGAATCATTAACCAGTGGCAGCAGGAATCAAAGGACAAGGTGATTTCCCTCTTGCTAACCCACCTGCCTCTGCTGAAGCCGGGGAACATCGAGGCGAAAGTGGAGTACATGAAGCTCCTTCCCAAAATCCTGGCTCACTCCATCGAACACAACCAGCACATAGAGGAGAGCAGGCAGCTCCTGTCTTACGCCCTGATCCATCCCGCCACGTCCCTGGAGGACAGGAGCGCCCTGGCCATGTGGCTGAACCACCTGGAGGACCGCACATCGCTGGGCACCTACGGGAGCCAGGGCAGGGGCCGGTCCGACTCGGTCGATTACGGGCCGTCGCACTACTATCACCAAAGACAGAATTCGGACGATAAGCTCAACGGGTGGCAGAGTTCGCGGGACTCCGGCATCTGCGTCAACGCCTCGAGCTGGCAGGATAAGAACCTGGGCTGCGAGAACGGCCACCTCCCTCTCTATTCCTCCTCTTCCGTCCCCGCGACAATCAACACGATCGGAACGGGCACGGGCACAAGTAAGTCGCGGATGGCGGTCTCGGGGGGCGTGCGGGAGGGCTCTTTCCTTTTCCCCCAGTAGCACCGCACTGAGCAAACTTGAACAAAACAGCGTATAACTCGAGGGGAAAGAAGCCGTGCCTAAATTAGGGTCTGGGCTGGTGGAGAACAGGGTCAGGGTCAGTTAGGCAGCCGGGGGAATGTCACAGCTACGCAGCCAATCAGAGCACGTGCTGCCTCTGTCAAGCATCCTTGGTTGCTAAGCAACCCCTCCACCACCACCCCTTGGCTAAGTGGGCTTACCTAGCGTTGTATTAACCCTTTAAGTTACAAGCCGAATGATCCCTGCTGTGGCCCTTCCGGCAGGTTTGCATGTCCCGTCCCACTTCCTATTCCTAAATAAATATTGTTATTTGAAGGTTTTCAGAACGTGGCAACAGCCATGGTGACAAACATCCATTAGGGTTCCAAGCAAGGAAGGAGGGAGTGGAATTGTGTAGGTCTCCTGTGTTGCAGCAAGTTGCCTCAAAGATCTAAATGCAGCAGTGACTTCTCCTGGAGAAGCCTAGCTGAAATACGTGAGAGTTGTCTGAGGACTCCAGGGTGCTTGTTCATTTCAGTGGGGATGCGGGTGGTGCTGTGGTTTAAACCACTGAGCCTCTGGGGCTTGCCGATCAGAAGGTCAGCAGTTCAAATCCCCCGTTGCTCAGGCCCAGCTCTTGCCAACCTAGCAGTTCGAAAGCACGCCAGTGCAAGTAGATAAATAGGTACCACTGCAGTGGGAAGGTAAACGGCGTTTCCATGCATTCTGGCACTCATCACAGTGTCCCGTTGCGCCAGAAGCGGTTTAGTCTTGCTGGCCACATGACCCGGAAAGCTGTCTGTGGACAAACGCCAGCTCCCTCGGCCTGAAAGCAAGATGAGAGCCGCACCCCATAGTTGCCTTTAACTGGACCTAACGGTCAGGGGTCCATTTACCTTTGCCTATGACACTTTAGAGTGTTCAGAGTGCTTCTTGCCATAGCTGTCAATGTTTCCCCTTTTTTAAAGGGAAATTCCCTTATTCCGAATAGGATTCTTCGCAAGAAAAGGGAAAAGTTGACAGCTATGCTTTTTGCCTATCAGAAGGTCAGCAATTCGGATCTCCATGATGGAATGAGCTCCCGTTGCCCTGTCCCAGCTCCTGTCAACGTAGCAGTTCAAAAGCACACCAGCGCAAGTAGATAAATAGGGACCACTGCGGTGGGAAGGTAAACGGCCTTTCCATGCGCTCTGGCTTCTGTCACTGTGTTCTGTTGCACCAGAAGTGGCTTAGTCCTGCTGGCCACATGACCCGGAAAGCTGTCTGCGGACAAACGCCGGCTCCCTCGGCCTGAAAAGCGAGATGAGCGCCGCAACCCCAGAGTCGCCTTTGACTGGACTTAACCCTCCAGGGCTCTTTTACCTACCCAATGGTTAGGCATGGGAGCTGGTATTGGACAACAATCAGAGACCCACAGCTGCCCCACTCCTGATTTAAATTGGCACTGTTTGTGCTGCTTCCAGAGGAGCCGCCATGTCTGGCGACTGCAACAAAAACAAAGGAATATTGTAGCTTCACCAGTTCATTGCAGTGTATATTTCCAATCCAGTGGCTTTTTGTTTTGTTGTTTGCATGGCATAATCATAGAATCGTAGAGTTGTAGAGTTAGAAGGATCCCGAGGGTCATCTAGTCCAACCCCCTGCCATGCAGGAATCTCAGCCGAAGCATCCATGACAGATGTCCATCAAACCTCTTCTTAAAAGAGAAGGAAGGAGAGTCCACAACCTCCCAACCTTTCCCCTGTCGAACAGCTCTTACAGTCAGAAAGTTCTTCCTGCTGTTTAGTTTGAACCTCCTTTCTTGCAACTTTACAATGAATGAATAAATTTCATAGAATCGTAGGATTTCTTCCCCCCCCCCAATAATCTTTATTAGTTTTTCAATTAGGTACTCCACATACAGTGCCCCGCAAGACTAATGCCTCGCAAGATGAAAAACTCGCAAGACGAAAGAGTTTTCCGTTTTTTGAGTCGTTCCGCAAGACAAATTTCCCTATGGGCTTGCTTCGCAAGACGAAACGTCTTGCAAGTTCTTGCGAGTTTGTTTCCTTTTTCTTAAAGCCGCTAAGCCGTTAATAGCTGCTAAGCTGCTAAGCCGTTAATAGCTGCTAAGCCGCTAATAGCCGTGCTTCGCAAGACGAAAAAACCGCAAGACGAAGAGACTCGCGGAACAGATTAATTTCGTCTTGCGAGGCACCACTGTACACATATTGTATTACATTTTACATTTATACTTCAATTCTTGTTGTCTGTCTGTATTCATTTACAACTACTCTTAGTTATATTACTTTCCTTATTTTGCTTCTTATTATTTTCATTATCCATCACTTTTCTTAATCTTTCCCGTTACGAGGTTTATTTCCAATTCTACTGGTTTCGCTATTTCATCTTATCTTTCCTATATACGACATAATTTTTTTCCATTCTTTCTGAAATGTTTCCTTGCCCTGTTGTCGAATTTGAATCACAAACTGACGTGGAGAGGTGGCCAACTAAACTGAACTTTGGAAAAATGAGAAACCGAGGAACCGAAATGGATAAATGGATAGATTCAACTATCCTTAAATAGAACTCTCATCAGCCCCAGCTCGTCATTGTCCACAGTGTCTGGCTGAGGTTCTCTGGGGACTCAGGAAGGAGACATTCTCTATCTTACCTGGAGATGCCAAGTTAAGATCTACCTGTGAAGGAGGACTTTATATATTCCCTGCCCCCTTTTCTCTTGGTTCTCTGTTTTTGTTTAGATTAGTTCGTTCTTTTATTGCAATGTATTATGAAAAATCTTTCTTTCTTTTTTTTAAAAAAGGAGTAATTCCCATTGAATTAAATGGAGCTTACTCCTAGGTAATTGGGGTTAGGATCCCATCCTTTGCAAAAAAAAGAGAGAGTCTCGTGGCACACCTTAAAGACGAGTTAATTCATAACGACAGACGCTTGCGAGAACTACTTCTTGCTTCATGACAATAATTAACAGTAGTGATAATTAATATTGATGGCAATTAAACTGAGTAGGAAGTTGAGATGGTGCTTTGGGTCGAGGTGACCTAAAAATAACCGAAGCTATTTTCCAATCTGGACTTTCTCTTCTCCCCCCCCCCCAAAAAAAAATCCTGTCTCCATATCTGGCCTGGGGTAGTGATCGAGGTTTTATCTTTTTAAAGGGGCTCTTTAAGAGTACCTTTGAAGCAGAAATGGGTTCGAAGTGCTCATGTTGTAGTGCATTGACCCAAATTCCCAAGTTGGACCAGGGTTTGAATCCCCTTCTGGGTTTTTATTTTGAATTAAAATCCTAGGGCACCACACCCTAGTTGCTTCACAAATGACTGAAATTTTAAAGGGCACCCGAATGAGAAAAAAGCCCTGTCCTTAGCTTGGCCGACTTCAGGAGAAGTGCAGCAGAGGCGCTTGGAAAATCAGGCATGTTTTCTGCCAGGTGGATCTGTCAGGGCGAAGGGAGGTGTTGCGGGAACCCTAGGGTGCCATCTGCACCCCTCATGCAGCTACCGGTCCCGGAGTTCCCTGGGAAGAGGGACTGCCTGTCGGAAATGTGTCTCTAACAACTCTTATATGTAGGGCTGCCTCTGAAGATGGTGTCGGAAACTTCAGCTGGTGCAGAATTCAGCGGCCAGGTTGCTCACCAGAGCAAGATGGTTTGAGCATATTACACCGATCTTGGTCCAACTGCACTGGCTACCAGTTAGTTTCCGGGCCCAATTCCAAGTGCTGGTTTTGACCTATAAAGCCTTGAAACAGCTCAGGACCCCAATACCTCAAGGACCGCCTCTTTCCATATGAACCTACCCGGACCCTGAGATCATCTTCTGAGGCCCTTCTTCGTGTGCCCCCTCCTTGAGAGGTCCGGAGGGTGGCAACACGAGAACGGGGCCTTTTCTGCAGTGGCTCCCTGTCTGTGGGATGCTGTCTCCAGGGAAGTTCGCCTGGCGCCTTCATTATACACCTTTAGGCACCAGGCACAAATGTTCCTTTTTAACCAGCCCTTTGCTTGACCTGATGGATATCCTTTGCCCTTTTAAAATGTGGCTCCTTTTGGGGGGGGGTGTTATTGTTATTGTTTTTATTTTATATATTGTGATCTTTTCTGTGAACTGCCCTGAGACCTTCGGGTATAGGACGGTACATAAATTCTAATAATAATAATAATAATAATAATAATAATAATAATAATATCAACAATATTTTTTTGTTTCAAACTGGCCGATCCCCTTTTTTTGCAATTATTTTTATTGATTTTCATATTATATATTTATACATTCTTACAATATTAGCAACCTAAAACTCTCAGGAGTTTTACAACTCTTAGTACCCTTTGCAAACTGGATTCTCTGGGGGGAGCCATGGCTGTTTAAAGATGTGCTGGGCAGTTTTTTCGTTCTGAAATCCAAACGTTCACAGTCCGCCCTGGGACCTGCTGGCAAAGGGCAGGTCATAAAGTTTGTCATTGTCATCCGGGTTCCTTTCGGGTGCCCCCTGCCCCATCTGAGCCTGCCTCCCGCCCACCCCCCTCTGCACAAACGTCCTTCTGTTTCGCCTCTCTCCTGGCACGGGGCAGCCTTTCCCACCGAAGGAGCCTGCTGTGTGAGTCTTTCCTCTTTCGCTCCGTGTTCTCTCCAGGCTGCCTCTCCTGCACAAACAGCCCTTATCCCAGCCCCAAGGCACTTCCTGGCTCCGTACAATGAGGGCGTTCTGCTCCTGGCCCGGTTCACTCGGGCCAACACGCAGCTCTCAGTTCCACCGAGGGGTTTGCAGAGTCTCCCCCTTTCAGAGCAGGGTTTCGTGGCACGAAGTGTGCGCTTAAGGAAGCCGCTCTGGAAAGGGGAGTTTTTCTGCACGCTTGGCTCGCAGGGAGGGCCTGCACAAGGCAAGGCTCCTTCGGTGGATCGTACGGAGCTTTTGTTTACTTCCATAAATACATATATA